TGGTTTATTCAAATTTGATTAATATTTTTGTATCTAAAATTGCAAGACAGATAGTATTTAATCGATCGTTTGAAACATTATCGCCTTTGTTATTTGATTATAATATAAATATTTTGTATAATATATTTTATTTGTTAAGTTTTTAATTAACAAGTTGCCTATTAGTCACATCATCTTTTCCTTCAAATAGAATATATAACCATTGTTTGAGCCCCATTTTGGGAGGAAAGAATGTATTGTTCAAAATTAAGAAAAAGTTTTAAATTTGTGTGCAATATTATTTTATTGAAAAATATATGATTGAAAATGAGTTTTGAAAAAATGAATTTTTAGAATATTGGGACTCAAAGAAGGGCTAAAATTGTATTTGATTTGAGCAATTCGTGTTACAAAAATATGGGAAACGGGAGAATTGAGTTAGAATAAAACTCTTGTCCATTTTAAATAAAATATTATAGTTATATATTTTAATTAGGATTGCTACAATGGTTATTCATATATGGTAATTAATTTATAACTATAAAGGAAATTATCTTAACAAAGTCCTAAATGAATTAAAAATCAGGAGTCGTGCCTTTTTAAGTAAATGCGGATGATCAATTGCACTCCACTTCTACAAAGTATATGAATATCATTTATATTGGAAAAAGGAGTCCGAAAGATCTCAACTGCTTCAACAAAAATCGACATTTAATTCTTCCACTTCTAGGTAATTAGAGGGAATATACCGGCAAAGATTCCGAGTTTACGATTCTATAAATACCATCTAATTCCCTTTGGATTTTTTTAACCTACATTCGCAGAATATTTTCTCTCTTTTCATCAGCGAGCCGGTTTGTTCTTCTATTAATCTTCACGTATGATCTGCTTGCATTGTTCAATTCTTTTACGCTAGTTTTTGTTGATTATCCTTCTCTTTGTTTATATATATAATTCGATTGATTTCTTTGTAGCGTTTTATATAATAAGAGATATGCATGCTTCTCTTATTAATGTTTATCATTAGCGAATCGATATGAAATTTAATGGAAATAAAACTTAGTTGATTGAATTGTTTTTGAACTAATATTCAAATTTTGATCGTCCAGTTTTGTTTTCTTGGTTTTGTTGGAATAGAATCAGTAAAATATTTTATTTAATCGATATATCTGAACATTCGTTTTTTTCTTTCCCAGTTAGATCGAGGAAGTTGTTGACAAGAAGGAGAAGAAGCAATGGCTGGGGAGAATTTGAATGTGCTTAATGCTCTTGATGTGGCTAAAACACAATGGTATCACTTTACTGCAATTATAATTGCTGGAATGGGATTCTTTACGGATGCGTACGATCTCTTCTGCATCTCTCTCGTAACTAAAATGCTTGGCCGGATATATTACCACGTTGAAGGATCATCAAAGCCGGGGAGTTTGCCTCCCAATGTATCTGCTGCTGTCAACGGTGTTGCCCTCTGCGGAACACTTGCTGGCCAGCTTTTCTTCGGCTGGCTGGGCGACAAAATGGGCCGAAAGAGAGTGTATGGTGTCACGCTCATGCTCATGTCTATTTGCTCCGTTGCATCTGGCCTTTCTTTTGGCAGAGATCCTAAATCAGTAATGGCTACTCTCTGTTTTTTCCGATTCTGGCTTGGCTTTGGCATTGGCGGTGATTATCCACTTTCGGCAACAATTATGTCTGAATACGCGAATAAGAAGACTCGTGGTGCTTTCATAGCTGCGGTGTTTGCAATGCAAGGTTTTGGGATTCTGTCCGGTGGTGTATTTGCAATGATAGTCTCGGCTGCATTTGATGCCAGATTCAAGGCTCCAGCTTATGCGGTTGATCCAATTGGCTCCACTGTCCCACAGGCAGATTATATTTGGAGAATTATTTTGATGGCGGGTGCTCTTCCGGCTTTACTTACTTATTATTGGCGACTGAAGATGCCTGAAACTGCTCGTTACACTGCCCTCGTTGCCAAGAATGCGCAACAGGCTGCATCAGATATGTCGAAAGTTTTACAAGTGGACATTGAGGCTGAACAGCAGAAGGTGGAGCAAATAGCCGAAAAGCAGACGAATTCTTTCGGTTTATTAACAAGGGAATTCCTTCGTCGCCATGGACTTCACTTGCTCGGCACCACAAGCACGTGGTTCTTGCTCGACATTGCATATTACAGCCAGAATTTGTTCCAGAAGGATATTTTCAGCGCAATTGGATGGATTCCATCAGCAAAGACAATGAATGCTATTCAAGAAGTTTATACAATTGCAAGGGCACAAACGCTTATCGCCCTTTGCAGTACTGTCCCGGGGTACTGGTTTACAGTGGCTCTCATTGATAAAATGGGAAGATTTGCAATTCAATTAGTGGGATTCTCCATGATGACAATCTTCATGTTTGCTTTGGCCATTCCTTACGACCACTGGACACACAAAGACAACCACATTGGATTCATCGTTTTGTATTCCTTAACCTTCTTTTTCGCAAACTTTGGACCTAATGCGACAACCTTCGTCGTGCCTGCTGAGATTTTCCCGGCTAGATTACGATCCACCTGCCATGGGATCTCTGCTGCATCTGGAAAAATGGGAGCAATAATTGGTGCTTTTGGGTTCTTGTATCTGGCTCAAAACCAAGACAAGGCAAAGGCTGATGCAGGGTATCCAGCAGGAATCGGCATGAGAAATTCACTCATCGTGTTAGGCATAGTGAACCTTTTGGGGTTATTATTCACCTTCTTGGTCCCGGAATCGAAGGGGAAATCTCTAGAGGAGATGTCAGGTGAAAATGAAGATATGAACGAGGCAAGTGGCAATAAAACAGTTCCTGTAGTATAAAGGAGATGCTAGCTACAAATACTCTGCTTATTGCTCTTTTTTCTTTGGGATTTTCGTTTTTTCCCCCTTCTGCAAGGAAGTTCGTTAGTTTAAGCTTTTGAATTTGTAGTTGCGTTACAATTTATAAAAAGAGTAATAGTATTATTTTTCTGATCTTAAGCACTTTTTATGAAGTTCACAAAGGTTCTCTATATGTCAACTGTCAAATAGCTTTCTAAGTATCAGCTAGTAAGTGTAAAATTGAACCGGTTACTGAGGACTGGACACCTGGACCAGGCTGGGCTATTCAGATCGGTGCTTAGTTCATGTTAAGCACCGATGACATGACACATCATTTAATTGGTGAATCATTAAATACCTTAAACTTACCATTAACTTATTCACCAATTAAATAGCGTGTTATATCACCGGTGCTTAGGAGATCATTTTCGTGTATATATATACACACACACTTTTATCAACCTGCTATAGACATCTTTTTTTTTTCCAATACTTTTCTCTTCTTTGAATTGCACTAGCGTAGAGCTCTATGGATAATTTAATTTAATCTTGATGTGGACTCAACTACATTTAAAATAAGTCAACATAAAGTAAAATACTACACTCAAAATAAGTAAACATATTTGGGTTGGCATAAATTAAATATACATTATGAATGTAACCTTTTTATGAGATGAACTCAATCACATTCACAATAAGTCAACATAAGGCGCATATTTTGAGCATCCCCTATTGTGCTCTAAATTAGATATAAAATTGTGATTTAGATCTTCAAAATTGTCGAAAAACTCTCCAATAGAGAGATATAAAGAAAATATAAGTTGCTTTTTCTAAAGAAAAATAAAAAAGATGTAAATTTACATATTACTTTAGATCCGCAAGAGGTTAAAAAGCTACCTACCCACTTGCGTCTAATTTTTTCAAAATTTTCTCATTGGAATAGAATTTGGATTTAGATTCATCAAGATGCAAATTAGGATGCAAAAATGATTTTGAATATGTCAATTTACAACGAAATTTACACTATCATTGAATATGCCTTCAGAGCTTAACTTTAAAGTAAGTCACCCCAAACATGCACTATATCCAAATGACATTGATTTCACATTTCACTCTATAATTGTACTAAAAGTATTCAATCTTTGTTATTATCATTAATTCGTGTAGGTCAAATATTTGATTAGCATGTGGAATTTTTTTTTTTATTTATATTATTTCTTTACTTATTTAAAAACATGAAGGTTAAATAAGATTTTTTTAATACCTTTTTAACAAGACAGATCATCATCTTGGTCGAAATATGCTAATTAGAGAAAAGTTGAGGATAAGAAATATTGAGAATGTGACTACGACAATAAGCAAAGGTAGACACAGTATAATCCAAAACTGATTTTTGGGTGGGGGGGGGGGGGGGTAGGGGGGAAAAA